CCCCCCCCCCCAGCTTCTCCACGTCTTTTCTGGGCTTCAAGGCATCTTCCGGGAAACATCTTTCATTGTGAGAAAAACCATTTACTTGAAGTTCAGTGATTTATTTCATGTCGTGTCTGTTTCTCTCTCTTAAACACGGGTGAGGTGACATACGAGCTCCTCAAATTACTGATACGCACAACAGCCGGGACGGAATCTCTAGGGCGTGAAGATCCCAGAGATTACACACTGTGCAGCTGCACGGACCTGACTCTCTGGAAACGTCGGGTCTGGGGGACGAGAACGGATCGGGGTGCGGGAGGGGTGACCACAAGAGGCAGGACAAGGGAGCCTTGTGCCGACCCACACGGTCTGCACGTTGACTGCGGTGGCACTCACACGGAGGCACCTGCGTGACGTAGGGCGGAGAACCGCCCGCGTGCCAACATCAGTGTCCCGGTTTCAGCGCTGTGCTGTCACTACGGGGACTGACGCAGTGAAGGAAATGGGGGCAAGGCGCTCAGGCCTGCTCTGTATGGCCTTGTCAACTTCCTGTAAATCCATAGTTATTTTTAAAATTAAAAACAAAAGCACGTGCAAATGGGACCTGCCAAAAAACCCCCGTGCATCAGAAGACACAACAGAGGGGAAGGCAGCCTGCAGAGAGGGAGAACGTGCTATGAATCGCAGTTCTGAAAGGAGTCAAGCACCTTAACCCTGAAGAACTCCCACAAATCAACCACAAAAAGAAGCCAATCACAAAAGTGGGCAGAGGCCCCGAGTACACGTCTCCAAAGGCGAGATGCATATGGCCAGTGAGCACAGGACAATGTGCTCGACGTCTCGAGAGCCATGCACATCCAAACCACCAGATGCCACCTCACACCTGTCAGAACGGCCACCACCAAAGCCCGGAGTCGTGAATGCGGCAGGGGTGCCCAGGAGCCCAAGCCCTGTGTGCCGGGGTCGGGGGCGTGATGGTGCGGCGGCCGCGGCACACAGCCTGGTGGCTCCTCGGACAATTCAGCACAAGATGACCACGTGACCCAGCAACCCCACCTTGGGGGTGCACTGTAGAGCTGGAAGCAGACACCTGAAGAGACAGTTGCACACCCCACTCACGAAAGCATGATCAGGCCACAGGGCAGGGGGCTGGGGGGGGGAACCCAAGTGTCTCTTGACGGATGAACGGATAAATCCACTGGGGTCCACATGTGTAAAAGAAGACGGTCTGGCCTCAAAAAGGAAGTAGATTCTGCAATCTGCTACGACGCGGAGGAACCTTAGGGATGTTAGGCTGAGAGATGGCAGCTGGCCACGGCAAGACAGACGCTGTGACTGCACGTACACCACAGCGCGGTTCCTACTCGGGTCTCCAAAGACGGGAAGTAGAAAAGTGGGCGCCAGGCTGGGGAGGGGCTGGGGCACCAGTGTTTCAGTTGTGCAAGGCGGGCGAGTTCCCTGACGGGCAGTGGGGACAATTGCACAACATGAATGCATCTGACACCACTGAACCGTACCCTAAAGACTGGTTAAGGTGCCAAGTTCTGTCATACGTTTTTACTCAAACATAAAGCAAAAGTTTAAAAGCAACTTATTGGGGCGCCTGGGTGGCTCAGTCAGTTAAGTGTCCGACTTTGGCTCAGGTCATGACCTTGCAGTCTGTGAGTTCAAGCCCTGCATCAGGCTCTGTACTGACAGCTCAGAGCCTGCAGCTGCTTCGGATTCTGTGTCTCCCTCTCTCTCTGCCCCTCCCCCACTCATGCTCTGTCTCCGTCTCTCTCAAAAATATGCAAACATTAAAAAATTTTTTTTTAATTAAAAAAAAAATCAAAACTTACAAGCTGTCTCTTGTTCTATTCGACCGTGCCGCATTCTGACGGCCGCCAAGGTCCATGCTCCACACTGAGGACAGGGCCGCAGCGGCCAGGGGCACACAGGCAAGCAGACAGGTGCCTGTAAACCGAGTGCAAACCCGAGGGAGCCTGTGAGAACCTGGCACGCTGGGTCAGGTAGGCGAGGAGGCCGGCAGGCTGAGCCCCATCGAGAAGGAGTGAGCCGTGCAGAGGGGGCAGGGGACGGTGGGCGGAATCGTCTGGGACGGGAACGCCACCAGGGCCTCTGCCCGGGAGGCTTCCCCGGACGTTCTGTCTAGGCCTGGGCCTGGTCTTGGCCCTCAGCTCTCCAGCCTGCCTCCTTGCTGACGACAGGGGTCTGTCCCACCCACGCTGACCCTGCCTGAGTGGTACTAAAGACAGGAGGGACACCCATCTGGGGAGCCCTCACGGAGGGCAGTGGGGCAACCAGCCAGGACCCTCCAAGGTGGGGCTGGGCAGACAGAAAGGGAGGACAGGACACAGACGCCAAGGCAGAGGAACTTCCAGGATGGAATGACGAGGTGCTAGAAACCACCGAGGAGAAAGACGGGGGGCTCGCTTATGTCCAGCACTCAAGGGGCTGGGGAGGACGACGGATGAGCCGCCCGGGCAGACTCCCCGAACACCCCGCCCTGGCCCTTGGCGCTCCCCGACTGTGGTCTGCAGCTCCAAGGTCACCAGGGAAGACCCGGAGGTAACCCAGCTTCCAGAGAAGATCCCTGGAATCGATTCTAAACACTAACCTGACAGTGCTACCCGCCTCCTGACCCTAAGGTGTCCCAGGCAGATCTTCCCAAAGCTGAGATCCCTGGAAACGTCCTGCATTTACAAACCCTGCAGACACCCCACCCCCCACCGCTGAAGCATCTGCTTCTGCCTCAGATTTCCCCCAGAAGTTCTCCAAATGCTCCGCTCCCCGCTACCCACATACGTAACCATGACTGGCTGACCACACCCTCTTCTTGTCCCAGCAGCACAACGGCAGTGACTCGCTGATAAGTCACCATCACCCCACACTCCGGCCCCACGGGCCCAGGGGCCTGCCCAAGGGGACAGCATCCCACAGGTGGCTCAGAGCAGCCTGCTTCCTTCCAGGCAGGCGGCTGAGCTCAGGAGGGTCGCCAGTCCACCCTGCCCACCGTGCTTGCTCCCCACGGGGCACTCAGCAGCCCGGCAGGGAGGTCACCCGGCAGGCACTGCCCAGAACAGCTTCTTCAGGAGCGGAGCAGGCTACGCCCACGCCGCAGCGGCACCACCACCACCACCACGCGACTCTGGACACAATGCAACAAACCCCAGAGGGCCAGTAGGTGGCCAAGACAAGCTCCCGCGTCTGATTCACTAGAACATTCCTGCAGGGGGGTTGCTGGCCTGGGATGTCATTTTAGTCCAAATGGACCCGGGACTGAGAGCAGCACCAGGGCGCCCCCGAGCCTAACGATGAGCTCGGCCTGCGGGCCCAGAGCAGACCCTCCCACCAAAAGGCCAGCGTCGAGGAATCCCGTCAGCCTCCAGCGGAGTCACCCCGTGAACAACAACCCAGGGACAGTCACGTTCGTGCTGCCGTTCCCAACGCGAAGACTATGAACAGCGGCTACCGCTGGCTGGCTGGGAAGGGCACAGCGCTGAGCGCAGCACGCACACGGACCTTTCTGTGGGCGGGGACACTGAGGCAGAGGAGGCTGCGGGGCTCGCCAGCTCAAATGCCTACAGTCTCCCTCGTGCCAGTCCACACACAGCGGGCTACGATCCTTTCAGGCTGGAACGGCCAGCTTCCTGCAGCGCTCTCCGCAAGATACAGCCAAATTCAAAGCCAGCAGCTGTCCCCTGCAGGTCCCACCCGCCTCTCTCCCCACTCCCACCTACTTTCCAAACTCGCACAGGATCCCAAACACACCCTTCATCCTTTCCCAGCCATTGGCCTGCCTGAGGGTCTCACACTCTTCAAGAATGGAACCAGGGGCGCCTGGGTGGCCCAGTCGGTTGAGCGGCCGACTTCGGCTCAGGTCATGATCTCGCAGTCCGTGAGTCTGAGCCCCACGTCAGGCTCTGTGCTGACAGCTCAGAGCCTGGAGCCTGTTTCAGATTCTGTGCCTCCCTCTCTCTGACCCTCCCCTGTTCATGCTCTGTCTCTCCCTGTATCAAAAATAAATAAACGTCAAAAAAAAAAAATTAAAAAAAGAATGGAACCAACTGTGACCTCTTCTGTCTCTGGGGCCCCTCACGGTCTTTCCGGAGCAAGAGGCCTGTGTCTCCGTGAGCCTGCAGCCGGTCAGAAGGAAGCTGCTTCGTGCGCTTCGGTGTCCCAGGCACACTGCACACAGCCGGGCACTGAGTACGTGAAGGAGAAACTTTTTTCTTAACTGTTTAAGAAAGGCTAGTCTGTTACTACCTAACACAGATAAACAAGGAGCTTTGCATTTTTTTAAGGGAATAAATTTTTTTTTTTTAAGGAAAGATTTCAAAGAACTCTTAAAAAAAGAAAATGAAACAAAACAAAAACCGTAAGAGCCAACTCCTGTGTCTATTTGCAAAGAGAAACGAGGAACCCCAGGGCGCCTGGGTGGCTCAGTGAGTTAAGCATTTGACTTGGGCTCAGGTCATGATCTCACGGTTCCTGGGTTCTAGCCCCACGTCGGGCTCTGGGCTGACAGCTCGGAGCCTGGAGCC